AGAAACTGCTGGGCGGCGTCAGAGGGGGCCGGCTGAGGTCGCGGGCCTGCGCGCCGGCCAAGGCCACGCGGGCACTCGCGCGCACAAGTACACGTGCGTACACGTGTGCACAGATATGCATGCACACACGTGTGCATGTTCACACGCACACATGCTCACACACGCTCACACTCACACGCTCACGTGCTCACGCGCACACATGCACGCATGCTCACACGCTCACGAGCTCACACACATGCTCATGCGCACGCATGCTCACGCGCTCACGCACACGCTCACGCGCGCACACGCTCACGCTCACACACTCATGTGTTCACCCGCACACATGCGCACATGCTTACACATGCTCACATGCACACACGCTCACGCTCACACATGCTCACGCTCACACATGCTCACATGCACACATGCTCACGCACGCACACGCTCACGCACGCACATGCACACATGCTTACACACATGCACATGCTCACACATGCTCACGCTCACACACTCACGCACACATGCTCACGCACACACATGCACACATGCTTACACACATGCACACGCTCGCACACGCTCGCACGCACACATGCTTACACACATGCACACGCTCACGCGCACATGCACACATGCTTACACACACTCACACGCGCTCCACGCCTGCGTGGCCCTTTGGCGCCAGGCGTGCACCTGGCGTGCACCTGGCGTGCACCTGGCGCAGTGGCACAGAGCGCGGCGGGAAGCCCGCGAGCACACAGTGACGTCAGCTCGCGGGGCCGGGGCAGTGAGGGGCGGCGGGCAGGGCACGGGGGGCGCGGCGTGGCCACTCACAGGATGCCTGGTCCCCGTTGGTCTTCAGGGCGATGTCGTTCCTCTCCTGGCGCCCCTTGGTGCCCGACACCCTCTCCATCTTGTGGATCTCCGACAGGCAGAGTTTGGGGTTGTAGTGGAAGAAGAGTTTCCCCTGAGTGATGGTGAGGTTGTGCTTGCTCCAGTCCCACAGCTGCCGCAGGTTCTGGTTGTCCAGCGCGTAGAAAGAGTAGTTCCTAGGGAGGCGTGCAC